CAGTGTTCAAAAATGTGCTTTATTTCAAGCTTAAATTTGTCTAACTTCCAACAAATTTGATTTCATTATATCTCTGTCTGCAAGACTGCAAATCTTCTCATTATCATTGCTTTCCATGTCTAAGGACTTCAGTAAAATAATAAGGTAATCCTTCAATGTTCTCTTTGATAAACTGAATAGATAAATTCTTGGTGTTCACATGAGAAGAGTTTTCTGCTTTCTTTTATTTTTTTTAATCTGCTCTTTAAATATAAGCTGTGCTGCTAAAAGTGATTTCAAAGGGGCTGGAAAACACTTGGTAATCTCTTCCTAACAAGTAGTACATTTAACACAGGGCACATGGAAAATTTCAAGAGTCCTACTCAGTCATTCCTGGACGCCAGTGACCTCCTCCTGTTCGACTGCAAGTGCTGTATCAGAAGCTGCAGGTAGGAGCTGTGGTTGAGGAGAGAAACCTCCAGCTGGCAGATTGGCAGATGTTAGTTGTGGTAGGAATTCAGTTCAAAATAGTACCTTGTTTTATATATATATATATATATATATATATATATATATATATATATATTTTTTTTTTTTTTTTTTTTTTTTTTTTTACTATTTGAATTTCACCCTCTGTGTCATTCAGGAGAATTTAAGAGCATCCTCAGAATTTTGGAATTTAATTTTCAGAATTTTCATTATGGAATTTAAGAGCATCCTCAGAATTTTGCCATTATGCAGGTCCTATATCAGTGGTGAATTTTACCAAAAAGATATTCCAGAATATCTAACCAGAAGGAGGGGAGTCATACCTGTAAGTTATCTTACTAATAAAGATGTGGCTGGATGAAAATCTGTATAATCTATTGCATTTTTATCTCTGCTGTTGAGTTTTGATCCCCCTAAATTGTGCCCCGTCTATTCCATAAATTTTGTTTTTTTCCTAGGTGCCGTATTGTACAAAATCAAATTCCCAGGAGAAATCCAGCAAATTCTTTTTATCAGCAAAGTTGTTGTAATTAACCAGACTTGTAATCTTGCCAAAAAAGATTAAAGGTTTATTTGACAAGACCTACTTTCCACAAAACTTAGTTGCCTGATATTATTTACATTTTTACTTTCTAATGTTTGATTAATGAAATCCCAGATTAATTGTTCCATCAAAGAATTAGCCTAAATGGCCTGCTGTTCACTTGTCTATTTCATTTTTCTCTTTTAACATATATAAATTATATAAATGGCAGCCCTGCAGCAATACAGATTGTAATTTAGATTTTTTCTTTTTTTTTAAGAGATATTAGATATTAATATAAGTCATTTACAAAAACATTCCATATCTTATACTACTCTTGCAGAAATTAGCCTGTTGGTTTTTAAATGTTTATGTTCAACACATAATGCTTAATACTGCCCTTTCCTGTGGAGGATGAACCTTATTGCCTACCTCCATTATTGAATAATCCATATAAATTTATCTGCCTCCATCTAAATCTTTCTAGGCAAGAGCAAAAATCAGGACTGAAAAACACAGATTATGCATGTAAATGGATGTAATGGATGTAAATCTGAAGCTTCCCAGTGGCAGCCAGGAAGCATATTTGGGATTTTCTCTATTGTTTTTTAAGTTATCAGTGCTTGTGAAAACACTTCCACAAAAATAAAAGTGTCAAGAACATGCACTGTGGGCCAACCTGATGTGTTCTTATGCCTAAGGAATTTAAACTTTTGGATTCCATTCATATCTCTCTGGCATGAAAAATTATCAGTGCCTCGGATAATTGTAACTCCTTGTGCTCATTTTCTCTCTCATCTTTTTTTTTTTCCAATTGTACATTCACACTGTAATCTCTCTGGAGCAAAGGTTGTGCTGTGTAGTCAGTAATACCTACTGGGCTCCTATTAAAATTATGGGTTTAATGTGTTACCTCCACACAAATAACTGGTAATACCAATGACTGATAGGACAGGCTGCTGATGGTATAACTCAGATGACCTCCCTTACATTCTTACAGCTTTCATCTCATCAGAAAGCTCTCAAAACACCACAGCCAGTTTGTTACAGAAAACAGCTTATTTGAAATTTTAATTAGAATGCAAAACAGATGTGATCCTTGCTACCTGCTATTTATTGGCTCTGGGCAATGATTTCTGTCCTCCAACAGCAACCTAAATACAAACTCTTTTATGAAGTCCAACCACAGCTGTAATTTATCTTTGTTTTCTTTTTTGTTTTCTTCCTTTATCTTGTGTTGTTTCATGTATAGCTTTTTTTTCCTTTCCTTTTTATTTCCCTGTTTAAGTGTACTTGTGTATAAAATATAAATATAATAAATAAAAACAGTATATACACATTTACAGTTAACAACTCAAGCTACCACAAATCCTTCTTCCCCAACATCCCAGCTGTACTCTCCCCTCATCTCCATCCTGCTTCTAAGTGCTGGAACCTGCACTTCACCCAGGATATTTTTAAGGAGCCTCTGCACCCAAACACATGGCTCAGCAATGTCTTTATTTATAAAGGTCTGTGTAGGTAGCAGAACTGTTGCAGATATGAATATGTGTATAAGATGAGTATGAAGACCCAGTTTGGAGATGACAGGAGAGACACTGTACAGCCACAGGCTGATTCCTCAGAACATGCTCTGCGGGCTGCAAATGGAACTTTAGACCTTATACCCTTTAATAGAAGTTGGGCTCATCAAGTTAGGGTGAGCTCTTCAGGAGGTAGGACTAACCTCCTCCCTTGTCTTCAAATGCTTTTCTTCTCAGTCTTCTCTCTTCCAACCCTTTGGCTTCAGCAGTATTTGCTTCAACTCACTACTTTGATGGACCCAGCAGGGCCCAGGCAAAGGTGATGTTTTAAGTATAGAGGATGTGAGCAGCACACTAGGAGGTGTTTTGAGTCTGAGAACTGATCTGTACAACCTCATCCATTTTCAAGGGCTATTGGCATCAGTGAGATCACTTGCATTGTCAAAGTATTCACCAGTGTTAGCACTGTACATTCTAGGCCAGAAGAGAGACATCATTCTGCCCTCTTATTTGTTGCTAAAATTTCTAAAATTTCTCTGATTTAACCAGTCCCACTCTGTAAAAACATTTGTCCCAATAAATAAAACTGTCAGATTTTATATTCCTATAGCATCAAACTGGCCCAGTCTCTCCTGTGGGTTGACCCAGTAATTGATTTTTTGGGCCCAGTCGTGTTTATCTTTATTGATGACCTGGAGGAGGAGACCAAATATTCCCTCAGTAAATTTGTGGCTGACACCAAATTGTGTGGGAATGTGGTACTGCTGGAGTACAGGAGAGCTCTGTGGAGGGATCTGGATATGTGGGTGGAGATCAGTGGTATGAAGTTCAACAAGGCTGAGTGCTGGGTCCTGCACATAAGCCACATCACCCCATGCTGCAGTCTGGGGGAAGAGTGGCTGGAAAACTGCCCAGCACCAAAGGACCTCAGAGTGCTGGCCAACAGTGGCTGAACATGAGCTAGCATGTGCTCAGGTGGCCAAGGACGCATCCTGGTTTATATAAAAAATAGTGTGGCCAGCAGGACCAGGGCAGTGATTGTCACCCCTTGGCGCTGGTGAGATCACGCCTCGAGTGCTGTGTCCAGTTCTTGGCTCTTCATTACAAGGCACTGAGGTGCTGGATTGTGTCCAGAGAAGAGCAATGGAGCTGGTGAAGAGTCTGGAGCACAAGGAGCAGCTGAGGGAGCTGGGAGTGTTTATTCTAGAGAAAAAGAGGTGACCTTATCCTTCTCTACAACTCCCTGAAAGGAGGCTGCAGCCAAGTGGGGATCAGCCTCTTCTCCCAGGCAACCAGCAACAGGATGGGAGGAGAGGATGCTTCAAGCTGCACCAGGGGAGGTTCAGGTTAACATCAGGAGGCATTTCTTAACTGAAAGAGTTCTCAATCATTGGGACTGACTGCCCTGTGAGATAGTGGACTTATCATCCTTGGAGGTGCTCAAGAAACAACTGGACATGGCAATTAGTGCTATGGTCTAGTTGACAAGGTGATGATCAGTAAGAGATTGGACTCAATCTCAGAGGCCTTTTCCAACCTATATGGTTCTGTGACACCAACCTTATTCTTGTTACTTGCTCATGTGCCTCAATCTTAACATGTGACCTGTGTAATCCTACCCTCAGTACAAAGTCTGTCTGGAATATTAATTTTTGTACATTGCAGTTCTAGCAGTGTGCATGCAATGTGAATGCAGATCAGTGATTTACAAGTTCCCAAACTCATCAAATGTAATTTTGATGACAGAATAATTTAACATTTTTTTTTCTCTCAAAATAATTTAAAAATATATATGAGTCACCAACAGATTCCAGGCAAAATCCAGAAGTTGTAGTTATAGGAAATAAAATAATCTTTGGTGTTCAACAAGCAAGTTCTTAGAGAATTTCAAAAAATAAAGGGAAAAAATGCCTAAAAATTAGACACTACATGGATGAATAAAGCATAAAACAGTGGCATGTTGATAAGAATGATTGAAACAGCAATAAAAAGTAAAAGAAAGTTCCCACCATTAAAAAAAATGCAAGATAATTTTGATGTCGAGAGCCCCAACTGACATTCAGGTTACAAGAAGAGAAAAAATTACTTTAATTTCCTAAATTTCTGTGCTGGAAATATTGAAGAATTCTGAAATTTAGGCTGGATGGAGCAAAATTGAGTATGGATTGAACAGAACAGGACAGTGCAGGCAGGACCTAAAAGGAATCTGTATCCTAGATTCAGAGCACACTTAGCCCAGACTTCTGTCTTCAGCAGTGGTCGCTAGAGGAAACCTAGGAAAAAAGGATAAGCAAGTATAGTACTTTCTGTTCTAATATTTGTCCATGGATTTCTTGCGCATTCTGTGTTTTGTTTATGTAGCAACACCAATGAATATCTCCACCATGCTCCTCTCCCATCTCTCAGTGAGCCCATCTAAACTCCTTGTACCTGCAACATCCATTGGTAAGGAGTCCCATGGATCTGTTACATGAAGAAGCACTTACTTTTGGCATTGCACCAGCAGTATCCCACATTTTCAGAGTACATTTATCAAGAAAGAAGTGACCTAATCTTCCACAGTGATCCAGAAATTCCTGAGTGAATGCTGTAAGAGATACAAATTGATTGTGATGAGAGTACAAATGTTCACCTCCATCTGCCTAAGTAACAGCACACAGCAGTAGCAACACTAACAATCCCAATAACTTAATGCTTTTTCTGACTAAAACACCTTTTTCTCACTTTTGACATTTGAAAAACTCAGCAAGCCATAAGGCCTGAAGCAAATTACCTTGTAATTGCACTGGAGCATCTCAGTTTGGTCTGTGGTTATCACAGCCAAAACTGGCTGTCAAAAAACTCAATTTCCCCTGCTCAATGAAATGCACTGCCCCATTTCTGAGGGCAATAATCTCAGCCAAGGGAAAGCTAATTGCTACTAGCTGCTACCTGAGATAAGACGCATCTACAAGTAACCCAGTATGCAACAAAATGGGCAAAGAAAGACACCACAGTAAACAAAAAGTCATCAAATCTTATGAATCCTCTGTATCAACAAAATACACAATTGATTCAGTTCCCTACCTTAGGCAACAGAATCCTAGACAAGTCAAACAGACTGTGTAGCCATAGCACAGCAAAAATGACTGGTTGTCTTTTTACTCAAATTTCATAAATTTAGTTAGATGGTGAGCAAATGCAAACAGTTCTAGTAGTACCAGCACAGTCTGAATAACGAGCAATTTCCAGTAAGCTACTTGCAAACAGTCACAGCTGTTGGGCACTGTGACCATATGAAGGAGCAAATTTATTCCAGCTATGACAATGTTGCCTAAAGTGGTACCATTTTGCAGCCATTAGTCTGAGTTCCAGTAAACTTCTTCCTAATACAAGGGGTTTGGCACCATTTATTGAAAGTGAAACCGCTTATAGTAATTGCATTTCTCCCATCAATAAATTCAGCGGATACTGCTAGAGCAATTACTTACAGTAATTGCATTTCTCCCATCAATAAATTAAAATATATTTTCATATTTTATATTAACCAGTAATAACAGAATATGATGACCATTTATGGATGAGCCAACGAAGCAGGTAAATAAATAAATAAATAATGAAGAAACCCAGCCAGACTAAGTCTAGACTGATATGAAACCACATCTCAACAGTGATTCAAGTTCATGTAGTCAGTCTGCTACGCAGCAGGATCTGTGAGTATCAGAGCACTTGATATCCACAGGCACAATGAGATTCAGATATCAGCAGAGCATGAGTTGCAAATGGCAATTTCTCACTGATACCTTAAACAAAGTGTAATTCTTATCTCAATCTGTTCAAACTAGTCCTGCAATGAGAACACGGCCTCGAATAAAACAGACCAAGGGGTTTTTTATTTTTTTTTTTTTTAGCCTGGTATTGCACCTAGGACCATAAAATTATTATGCCGCTGCCCAAAGGGGGTGGATCAATGAAAAATATGAACATAAGGATGACAGAGGATAATGCTAATTACCCGTAAAGGAGATTCAAAAGTCAGTCATGGGGGTATGAAAATGAAATTACATCACTAAAAGAGATTGTTATTCACAAGAGTAACTGGCCAATAAGTAATTTTTCAGCTGGGGATTAGGAATGGAGAGACAGAGCAGGACACAAGTAGACTGGAGGATTGAATAGCTCTGCTGAACCCAGCACAGATATTGCTGCAGTCCTGGAAACTTCTTTCCATTTAAGAAGACATCATAGTGACCCATACCAAACTGTTCCCAGAAATCCCCATGCCATGGGCCTCAGATCAGCTTGTGTCTCATGGTTGATTTTCCAGCAATTTGATCAGAACAACTCTTTCATGGCTCTGTATTACTCCATGTGTTACCATCTTGGTCTGTTGGCAACAACCTTTTCCTTCAAGGAATCTCAACCACAAATGTGAGAACATTCCAAGGCATCACCTTGGAGCAGTTACAAACTACTTTTTCATCTGTTTGTGTAGCAGCCTGAGCTGCTCTTAAGTCCCATTGAGGTGATTAAGCACTCAGCATGGCAGGACAGCCAGTCTGTGTGCAGCACAGGCTGTGCACACAGGACTGGGGCACGTGGAATTGGGCACATGCCGAGGCCTCCTGCTGATCCTGCAGCACAGAAGAGTACCAAGCTTCAGCTCTATTTGGTATACAAAAAACATTCTCAACAAACAAACAAAAAAACCCTCCAAAACCCCTAAAATACTGTATTCAAAACTAATAGATACCTCTGAGCATGTTGGTTTCCATTTCTTTCACACAGCTTTCTCAGGCATTACGAAAGATTATGAAACTTCCTAATCTTTGCAGAGCTCTCTGAAAACCTCAGACAAAATGTACTGCAGTAATAAAGAGGACAAGTTATGCTTTTTAACCTGTACTACTGGAGTAAGCTGGAATAAGGCTGCTCCCAAGCATGAAGCTGTTCAGACATTAATACAGGACATATATTCCAAAAGCGTCACTCACAGACTCTGAGTCCCATTCCCCTCATGTCACTGCCAGTGCAGAATAATGCAGATGATCTGACAAGAGTGGAAATGTAAGTCAAGAAACATTTTCTCCTTGAAGAAGTCAAAGCACCAGCTATGTCTTCAAACATCCATAACCCTGATGATTTTACTGACTATAATTGGATGAAAAGAAGGCAATATTGACTTTGTGTTCATTAATAGAATCACTGCTCTTGACAAGTTGCAGATCCACCAGGAGCTGTACAGGAGACATCATTGCAGCAGCTTGGGGTTTGGTGGCTTGCTGCTCTTGTCTTTATTTACCCAGTGCCACTCACTAAACCTAAGATGCAAACAAATAAATTATTCCTATCACACCAATTATACACTCCATAATGAAGCCAGAGAGTGCAAAGCTGTCAGCACAAAGTTTTCTTTCTAAAGACTCTGCAGAAGCTTTATTTCACAGTTTCTTTCTCTTAGATATAATTTCTTTATGGGAGTTCTCCATTCTGTGTTAGTAGTGACACATGGCTAGCTTGCCAAGGCAGAAGTAATTTTAAGTTATATCGCTCCAGAGTTTCTAGTCCCTTCCTGTTGAGACTATCTGTATCCATCCATATTTTTGCTTTTTTGGACCTAGTCTTGCAAAACTGATGCATCTCAATGAACCTGTTTTCTGTGATAGCTTCACTGACTTCTGTATTTTAACGTGAGGAATGTAATCTTATCATGTAATCTTATTCATGTGCTCAAGATTTATAAAAGAATTTTCTGAGTTTCTGTCGCCACAGTGTTCTGTATTCCTACCTTGTTGCTCATACAATAAGTAGGGATGAGGAGGGCATCCAGACATAAATGTTAAACCCTTTTGTGCTGTGGGTTTGGTTTTTTTTGTCTTTAGCACACTGTGGATTCATAAAGGTGATCGGATTTGCTTCCTGGTATTTGGGAAATGGCATCTGTAAGATGGTGTGACTAACACCATGTCAGGAGCTAGGTAACTGGGGGAGTGATAAGCAGATCTGGTTTACTCCACACACAGGGCATCTGCCTACATGAAGAGAGAGAAGAAAATACTTTGCATCCTCCAAATGATACTAAACACTGCCTGTTTCACCCCCAGGGCAAGCAGGAAGACCAATAAGAATGATTTGCTGCACAAGTCATAATCACATCTCTAATAATCAGCCTTCCAGCAGCTCTTTGGGAAGTGGTTCTTTGTATAACCCCTTACCATGGAGGACAGACTTAAAGAGCACCTCATAACTATTAAAGACATCTGATTTGTGCCTTTTTAAAAATGCTGTTCTCCTACTCAAGGGGGGTATGGACTGAAGGCTTACTTAAGCTTGAAGTCCTTTCAAAATCTAGTTTTAAAGTATAAACATTTCTGATAATTCAATATCCACAGCTCCAACTTGATTTTCATAACACAGTTATTCTTACTTGTTGGCCTCTAAATTGTTTAGAGGAGTGTTTGGTGCTCTCAGTATTTGAAACCCAATTTTGCTTCTTCAGAAAAGTGTTTTACCTTATTAAGAGATACTTTGATTATCTAGCTAGACAATGACTCTAATTTTCTCCATATTTTCTATCTTTCCTGACATGTCCATTAAATTTTATGGAATCATTCACTTAATGACATATTGCTTCCATGTTGTCTTTCCACTTTCTACATTTGCTTTTCACTTTAGGACAAACTGTGCCATCACAGCAGAATCAAAAGACCTGCAGTTAACAAAAAAAGAAAGCCCTAAGTTTGAACCTCAGTGATTCAATAAGCTTTACAAGGCTCAAGATAAAGGACATAGGAATTTAAATCTCTATTTTCAAGCAAAGCATTCAATCATTTTGTTCCTTTGCTTTGCTACTGATCCTAAATAACATTAAATCCTCACAGTTACAGTTTTCTGAAAACAAGGTGGAGGTTTTATTATTTCCTCCAGAAACAATGTGATGTGCAAGATTGTGAGAAGACTGCTGGTCTACCCTCATCTTAGCATAACTTTGGGCAAAAAAAATCGTGAATGATTGCTTAAAATCTTATAATTTGGGTTCTTTTCCTCAACATGATATTCTTTGGCAATTGAGCTTGAAGAACTGACATAGGATTACTTATTTCTGAAATATTTAATTTTGGTTTAATACAGAGGGCTAAAATGTACCATTTTAGATTCTCCATCCCACTTGAAAATAGAATCATAGAATCATAGAATAGTTAGGTTGGGAAGGGACCTTAAAGGTCATTTTGATCTAAACACCCTGCCATGGATTTATTCAGATCCCCATGGTCACTCAGGTCCCCATTTGGCCTTGAATGCCTTGAGGGATGAGGAGTCCACAACAAATAAATAAAATAAACTTATTTACTTATAAAAAATTAACTGTTGAAATTACTAACATTTTAAAGCTATTATATATGCATAAATCTATAAAAATTTAATTATCTTATTTTTAATGTACATTTTTTATATTTGTTGGTGATCCTCAGTATCCACAACCTTTTTCCACTATTCTCATAGAATCATTGAATTGTTTGGGTTGGAAGGTGTCACTACAGGACACAAGAAAGCATGATGTGTACTGCTGCTATTGTAAAATGTAAAAAAGGGAAGTTAATTTTCTAACTCCAGCATTTGTAGCTTTCCAAAGGTGACAGTGGATTGGAGGGTGAAAGTGCCTCCTCTCCAACAACACTGGACAAACTACCAGTCCATCAAATTTCTCTGCCTCTATGAAGGAATGCAAAAACAATAAGTTATTTACAGAAAGTGCGTGAGAAAGTTTGCTTCAAGAATGTAAACTCAGAAGGCTTTAGAAAATCTTAAAAAATCGGGGTGACAGGAAGGGACCCAAAGATCATCTAGTCCCAACCCCCTGCCATGGGCAGGGACACCTTCCACTATCCCAGCTTACTCAGAGCCCCATCCAGCCTGGCCTTGAACACTTCCAGGGGTGGAGCATCCACAGCCCATCTGAGCAGCCTGTTCAAGTGCTTCACCACACCCTGAGTAAAACATTTATTCCTAACATCTTTTCTAAATCCACCCTCTTTCAGTTTAACATCACTTCCCCTTATCCTGTCACTATCTATCCACATAAAAAGTCCCTCTCCCTCCCTTTCATAAGACCCCTTTTGGTACTGGAAGGACAAGGTAAGCTTGGCCTTTTCCAGGTTGAACAACCCCAGCTCTTTCCATCCCCCTGATCATCTTTTTCCCTCCTTTGGACTCCTCCAGAGTTATATGGCATGGCCAATGCTAAACATTAGGGAAGAGTGTCTTCTATTACCAGTCCTGAATGAACTTGCAGAGCTTGCAGGGGATGGCATGTTATTTATGAATTACCACACCCAAAAATATATTGCAAATCTGCTATGGGCTTCCAACTCACATGCAGGTCCATTCTTTGAATGCCTTTGTTGTTACCCTTAGTTTGGAACTATTTTACATGATAGTTATACTGACCTTTTGGGCCATCACTGGTTCAGGCACTGGCTGAAAAGAATATGGCTGTTGCCCAACAGATCCAACCTCCTCCCTTCATCCAGGTGGAAAATGACACAAAGCAGTGGATTCGACTAAATCCAAGCCTGCAAATGAAGAACAGAGGTCAGTGGAGCTCTTCTCCACTCTGAACACCTGAGTTTTGGAAAACCTGCAGGTTTTGGAGCTCCTGAAGATTAACAAAGTCATTTAACCACTGCTCTAGTTTTCCCTCAACAGCCTATTGTGAGTTTAGTTTTATTCCTGTCTTCTAGGAAGGATGTAAAGGTCTTGGAGTGAAGCCTCTCTCATGTTCTGAGTTTAAAAGGATATGATATTCATTTACAGTCCTTCCAGACATACAACTGATAGTTTTGACTTCTGTTTGTGACATACAATGTTAATGTTAAAATGAAAAATATTAGTTCAAATTCAAAAGTGAAAGCATGCTTTTTAGTTTGTGGAAACAAAACAGGTTGGCTTTTACAAACAAAAATAGATCAATTCTGGAAAGGGCAAAGGGAAATGCTCTTGTTAGTTTTTGAATGGACTCTTTCTCTTTAATTGCTCTTTTAATGAAACTTGAATCTTCCAGCTATAGCCAAGTGCATGCATAATTTCAACCTCAACAAACCAATTTAGTCAAATTTCTACTTATAAAAAAAAAGTCTGAAAATGTGTCTACTTTTTCTAGCTACCTCTTAATATTCCAATACAATATCTCATCCTGTCTGACACAGCAGCAGGTAAGAGCTGGGATATGAAATACCCCATGCTGCTTGACACTGCTTGGTTCCAGGAAATTGTTGTTACCTCGACAGCAGCTTTTGTCCAGCCCTCTCCAAGCTGCTCAGGGGAAGCTTAATTAAGGTTTACAGTAACTCTGTAAGGTAAATGAATACTACTGTCATTTTGCAAAGAAGTCAGACAAGCCAAAAAAAAAAAAGAAACCAAAACCAAAAATGCTGCCTAACATTAAAAAAATACAACCATATGAAAGCCAGGAGCAGAATTGCAAGAACCACAGTCATGAACTCCAAGTACTAACACCAGAATAAGCCGACAGTTAAAATTAAAATCCTCATGCTCATTAAGTTAATCACCTGCAGAAATCCTTTTCTAGCAGCTTCTTTCTCTGACTATTCTAGTTTTCTCTTTGCTTGGCACATAAGAAACCTCTGGCTATAATGGGCAGTCTGAGCTGCCACTCAAAAATTTGAGAGTATTTTTTTCTAATTGTAAACATTACCAACTCCACATGATCATTCAGGTGATAAAAGCACTTGATTTCTATTTGCCACAAAGCTGATAATCAGACAGCCAAATGATGTTATTTCCACGCTGAGGGGTTTGCTGCTCTCTGCATCTGTCCAATGCAGTACCAAAGTCATCCTGCCTCTTGAACACCCAGGGATATTGTCAGCCACCAGGCTATACTTATCAACAATTTCATCCAGGATAAACCTGGATGTTCCTTAGGGGAATACCTTTTATATTTGAAAAATATCTAAGAGGTAATGGAAGCTACAGCAAAAACAAAAGCAATATTCCTCTAAAAAAAGTACAGTCGATGTACACATATCATTTACTGGGACGTGGGTTCAAACCAACAATTGAGTTGACAAGAGTTGTGTGCTTGGCTATCTGGAATACCGTGTTCTCAAGACAGTATGTTGTTGCTCTCTATGACTATATACAAAATATACAAACACATAAAAGCACTGTCTAAGGGTTCATTAATGTTTTGATTAACTAGCTTTTCCACAGCCAGCAAAGTTTGAAGTCACTGTGGGTTTGCAGGAGAAACAAGGCACATGCATAGTAAATTATATTTCCCTGGCATTCTCTTGATGAGGAAGACAAGTCTAAGTCTGTGACTGACAATTAAAACCCTCAACTTTATTTGAGTAAGCTGGGCTCAGAATCCAGGTCCTATATCATGTTGCTAAGGCATAGAATGTTTTATATCTGCCTTCAGATATCTGTCATTCATTGCACAGGATTCTTGGAGGGCTTTATTGACATTAACAAACAAAACCTACACAATCTAAGTGTGGTGTCATCACTGGCACTTCAAGGGAGCTGTGAGAAAACAGTTCTGGGCTTTGGCTGACTGAGAATATCATTAATTGGTTCTTTAGTTGCTTTATTCTCTTAACAAGAGACAGAAGTAGGAAGTTCAGAGAACTGAAAATTAACAGCGATGGATCTAAAAGCCAATAGAAGAATTCTATATACCCATGAGGAAAGCAAGCTGTGAAACCAATTCTTGAGATAGGAATCAAAAAATGTGTTTCTCTTTAATTTTGGCAAATCACTGGCACTGAGAAAATGTAGGCTTACAATAAAACTCAAGGCATCCTCCAGTCTAATCTGTTGATATAATGCAGGATCAAGAATTACAGCACGAGATCTGAAAGGGATACCCACATACAGATATTCAGGGCTTACCACTCTTACAGGTATATTTTGCTCACTGACATCATTCAGATGCCACTCACATGCCACCAGTATGTTTACATTTTCATTCCTCTCAGGAAAGTCTCCTGTAATTATCAAGGAACAAACCAAATGCACACAGCTGAGGAGACTCACTTAGGAGACCAACCCAGGATATAAAAACACATAAAGAATAAACTACCCCAGTACAAATGAATGTCAAAACCCTAAAAATAGTTATTGCAAAAGTAATTAGGTGGAACAAACAAGGCTCAAAAGAAAACAGCCCTAAATGAGCTGTAGATGGAATTGCTGAAATGTGCCAAGACTTGTGTGAATAAAGATCTCAATAATAGGACAAGGCCTTGGTGCTTAGCTAATAAATCAAAGGGAAACACAATTCCCAGACACGTACATTAACCACTGTATCTGTGGAAGAAATAATGCCACATGTGAAATGTGCCACTGAATACATTAGGCAGTAGAAAGACAATTCTGTAGACAAAGGGATGTCAGATATCCAGTCGTCTCCTGATCATAGATAATGACTTTGGCTAAGTACACATCACAAAATTGAAAAGACTAAATAAAGCAAGACATCTCTTGGAAACAAAAATTACTACATTATCATCCAATTATCAAGGAATAGGACATGTTAAGTTATTGGTTTGGGTTGCAATGTCAGTATTTGATCTACAGTCATAGACAGCTGAGTAATTATTATGTCTCACATAAGGGTGAGAGGGGTGATTGAGGGAGGTGAGACACTGGAATAGGTTGCCCAGGAGGTTGTGGAATGCCCCACACTGGCACCATGTAGAATCATCAAGATCATAGAATTATCAAGGTTGAAAGACATCTTTTATAAATACTTCCAAGTTGTATTTATCATGTTAAAGTTGCTAATTAAAAAAAAAAAAAAAAAAAAGTGGGGGCACAACAATGTAACAAAAGCTATATTAAAATAAGTGCCTCAAATATATATTTTTAAATGTCTCTAGAATTATTGACTCTGCTTTTCTTTAAAGCTCAACCTTCACAGTGAGTCTTTATCTCTGTTTCCTTTCTTCCTGTCCTCATTTCTGACATACTTTTTCTATTCTGAATCTTCAGCATGAGAATAAGAAATGTGATTATCACTTCATCAGTCAACTGGGGCAAAAAAGCAAAATAATAGCAGCATTTCTAAGAAAATAAACAGCTCACTGATAGTATACTCTAGTTATTTTGCTCAGTTTCCTTCAACCACCTCAATACAGAGGTCTAGTGGTGTTTCCATTCTCTTTCTTGTATGGCCTCATGCCTGTCTCACCTTCCCTTTGATTTTTTGAACTTCTTTACCTTTCCTCACATACATCGCAGCCTGACTTTTTGACGTCTGCAGGAGATTCCACACAAGGTATAATCTCTTTGCCAATGATGAGTGGAACTGGAAAAGAAGGCAGCTGTAATGATAAAGGATTTTTAGTACAAAATCCTTCTGATCCTTGTTACCCAGGTTTCCAAGTTTGGCAAGGCTGAAAAAAAAAATTGGCTCAGATACTTGTAACAGAATCCTCTAACCTGAGAGTTGTTTTGAAATTCCATCCAAATCCATTCAAATTCCATCCATATGAAATTGGATTCTGTTCTATCTAAAGCCAAATAAATATATTTATGTGAAGAAAAAGATGTAGCTAACAGATACAGGCAATAAAATTTAACTGAAATTTTTATAAGATGAAAAGTGTTTCTAGATAAATAGAAATATTTCTCAATCCATATTTGATGGAAACTACTGGGTTGTTTCACCTGAACCATACAATCTAACACCTGCAATTTTACCTTGCCAAATTTATCTTTGTGATTATAATTATATGTAAAACCAAAATATTTCCCCAATATAATGGACAAATCGACATTTTTGGAATATGACAATGTATTTTTGTTTGGCTATAATAAAATACATTACAGATAAGATTTTACATTTAAAAACAGTGTTAAAGAGGAAAAATCTAACTCTATGCTGGTTCTCTCAGGAGAGCAGACCTTGGCCAATTCAGGGTCCTGATGGGAGGAATAGCATGGAGACTGTCCTGGAGAGAAGAGAGGCCAGGATGATCTCTCTGTCCTAAAGAGAAGAAAGCTGGATGATCTTCAAGGATCAGCTCCTCCAAGCTCAAGAATGAAAAAAGAAAGAAAGAATGAAAGAAGAAAGAAGAAAGAACGAAAGAAGACAGAATCCTGATGGGCAGCAAATGGAGTAGAGGTGGTTGGAAACCTCCATGGATGAGCAAGCAGCTCCTGACTAAACTGAAACATGAAAGGGGAAGGTACAGAAGGTGGAAGCTGAGTCAGATGCTCTGACAGGAATGGATAAAATCAGGAAAGCCAAAGCACAGCTAGGATTTAATCTGATGAGGAACATGAAGGATGACAATAAGAGCTTCTAAAGGGATATCGACTATATCTGTGAGCATGGGAAAGCTAACATATCTTCCCTTTAGGGGGACAGATTAGTGTCAAGAGAAATAGAAATATACAACGTTCTCAATGAAAAAATGGAAAGGGACAACTCGAATGTTATCAAAATGAAAGCTTTAGTAACATCCTCCAAATATTTCTGAAACAAAATATTTTATAATTTGTTTTTAATCTGAATTTTAGAGTAGAAATATTTAATACCTGA